AGTTTGTGACTAATTCATATCACAATGCTGGGATTAATGATGCTGGGATTAAAGCTGGGTGATAGATGATCAGACCACTAACTGGATTGGCACTGCCCTAATCCCAACAGTCTAGATACGTAAAAGGGGCAGAAAGAGGCTTGTTTCCCTCTTTTTGCTCCTGCTGTTTTTGTTGTCTTCTGCTGTCTGAAAGTTTCCGCTCGGCCACACCAACCTGCCTTGGAGCCACCTTGATTACGGATTGAAACCTCTACAAACTACAAGCTAAATAAATCTTTTCTTTCTAAACTTTGGGTATTGGGCATTTTATCTCAACAATCAGAAAAGAAACTGAGACACCCACTAATGATAAACTTTATAGAGCTCTGAATGATACAAATAGCAGACTGCAGCACATGTGTCACAGATTTGCCACCACTGTACCATGCCATTAAAAATACATACAGGAAACTGAAACATATTGTAAAGTGAAAAAACCAAAAAGGCTTCAATTACAACTATATTTCCTTTCAGAAAAGGCAAAACTAAAGCAAAAGAATTAGTTTCCAAAAGGCAAGGAAAAAAGTTGAATAAGTGGAGCCCAGGACAGAAAAACCACCATATGTGACATTAAACAGTAGATACACATCATTATACATCTTTCAGATCCAAGAACATACAACACCAAGAGTAAATAAAGGCTAACATAAACAAACTACAGCCTTTAGTTAATGTGATACTGGTTTATACTATAACAAATGTACTACACTAAGCCAAGATTTTCCCAATAAGAGGGAAAATAAGGAAGGCAGAAAAGGTGGCTGACCAAGGAGAGAATATATGGAGACTCTGTACTGTCTGCTCAATTGTTCTGTAAACCTGTAACATCTAGAATAAATATGATTCTGTGATCACTAGTGCCTAACAGAAGTACATCTCAGTTAAGACTTCGAGATCAGCTGGACATAGTGGCATACACCTGTAATCCTAGCACGAGGAAGGCTAAGGCAGAAGGAGTGCCATGAGTTCGAGGGCAGCCTGAGCTGCCTAGTCAGTTAAAGGCCAGCCTGGGCTACACAGTGCAACCCTGTCCCAAAAAAGAAAACAGAAAAAACATTGTGAGATCCAGTTCATGGCTAATTTACAACCCTAAATAGACCTACTCTGCTTAGCTATTTTACTAGTCACATTTGAGAATTTAACTTTTTGTTTCATCTTATGCTACCGTCACCTAGATTTAGCTCTAGCCCTGTTTAAAAAAAAGACAAAAACAAAAAATTTTAAGTCAATGTGTAATTACTAGAACAGATGCTTAATTGTTTTCTAAATTTAGTTCCAATCCAATCCTAATTTGTCTTTTCAATAGTTAGATAACTTCAATTCCTCATCTGTTAAGTGAAAAGAGCCACTTTCAGCTCTCAGGGTTATGTTAAAGTTCAAAGGAAATATGATATGTGGAAATGTTTTACCAACTATGTCGTTCTCATGTTGACATTAACTAATATAACTATCCTACCTTTCTGCTTAGTGAACTGACTCATGTATTCCAGAAAAGCTGAAATATCACTTTCTTCTAAGGATGTATGGCCCAATTTTCTGTGTAACATTTGAGGTTTTATATCTTAATTTATTTATGCATTTCTTAGCATGACTATTTCACACTGGTCAATATTCCAAGGCACACAGTAGGGTTTCAATAAATGAATAATACAGGGTTCTGTCCCATTGTTCTATGTTAACATGTATAATCTGTGACAATCACAAATCAGTACACAATATTTTCTTACATGTTACAACTTTCTCCTACTTTTTTTTGTGGATGTTTTTACTAGCTGGAATTTGGGCATGGAATGGGAAATGTCCCCTTGGGGCACTCCCCACTCCTGCTCCCCAGGGGATGTCCATTCTAATCTTCCTGGGAAAGCAGGAAGGGGCGCTGCTCTAAAATTTACAAAACACTGCCCCTAAATTATCAATGAACAATAACAGCTTTGCAATGTTACACAGTCAAGGACAGTCATAAGTCACAAAAGACACCTACAAGCAAGACAAGCAAGCAAGCATTAGTTGCCCAGGAGGTATGAGTTCTCCAATTCTCTCAGAGCGACCCATTTTAAGTATTATTCCTTGGAAGTAAAGACAATACACCATGAAAGTGGTACACCTGAAACATGTGGAAGCAATCACCTTCTAGGTCACAGTTCCTAGCATCAGCAAAGATATCTCAAAAGACTCAAGGAAAGAATCACTCACCACAGTGGGTCTCCATGAGAAACACTGATGACAAAAGCCTCTCCTGTCTGTCCAGAAAGAGTCCGCCCACTTTTATCAACAATGGTCCCTGAAATCTGAATTAACAAAGTAAACAAAGACAATAACATAGACTCAGATAAAGAAAATAATCACAATGATAAAATAAAATAGCTGATGTTCTTTGTTTTTCAGTTCTCAAGGTTATGCTAAAGTTCAAATTAAATACAATATGTGGAAATGTTTTACCAACTATGTTGTTCTCATGTTGACCCTAACACATCTATCCTGTCTTTCCACTTAGTGAACTGACTCATGTATAGCCTTTTATATAGAGAAGTATGGATCTCAAAGTTAACAATCTACGTAAGAGCCAGGATAGACATATGCCAAGGGACAAGGGGAGGAACTACAAGAAAAAGAGGAAGAAGAAAGTCACTGAGGCAAAGGCAGTGTCTCAAATAGCAAGTAAGTCCCACTGGAGGAGTTTTTCCAGAAATGGTTCAAGTTATGCTGGTGTGAAGACTGTTCTTAATTATCCACTTGACTGGCTTGATAGTTGCCATAAGGGGATTAGCAAAACATACTTCTGGATGTATCTGGGTGGATCATGGAAGCATGACCTCATCTGGTCCCTGGCCCTGTCCTCTCTGGCCCCTCACTCTGTAGCCCCATCTTCTTCTGCTTTGTTTCCAGGAAACTAGGAACTAAGTAGCCTTGCTCTGCCATGCTCTTCTGCCATGTTTCTGCCTTGAAGTCAGCCGACCACGGACTAAAACCTCAGAAATCATACACCAAATAAACCTTTCTTCCTTTAAATTGTGGGTTGCAGATATTTGGTTCCAAAAACAACTAATACATTTGGCCTTCTGCTGTTAAACATCTTATATTTTGGATCCCTTTGTTTTCATTCTGTTCTATTCTTACCAACCAATCTTAGGATTCTCATACACCATCTGCTTATTGAGTTAATGAACTGGTGTCTGGAACCTTTAAATATTTGGCAGTTAGATGTGAGTCTATCCCTCCCTGAACTTTTAAAGGCTGGGTTGTTAAGCTTCTGGTTTTAGGAGGCCTCTTCTTCTTTGCCAAAATTAACCTTTTCTCCAGCCAGGGAGATAGTCTGCCTCTCACTAATCACTTCTAGGTTCATTTTTCATTGCCTGTTCAGAGGTGAGGCTGCTACTGACCTAAAAGTGGTAGAAGTAGCAGTAGGAAAGTGGTAGTAGGAAAGTGAAAACAGAGCAAGTTGAAGTGGGTGGTTTCTAAACATCTACATCAATGGTCCTCAAACTGAAAATGATTAATATAAGATAGAAGTCATCATGAAAACATTTAAAACTTACAAAGATAGGTCGGGGAGTGTAATTCTCTTCAAAAAGTTTCTTGAGAGCAAACAAGGCTGCCTATCAGGGAAAACAAGAGTATTTTTATTTCCAACGTGGCTAAAGTCAGTCTGTCTGACCCTAACCCACCCTTTCCCAAAGCCTCTTCCTTCATACCAGATACATGTACACACACCTCTCTGCAGATAAGTGTCTTCCCTACAAAGCACAACAATAGTGCCCCATTCTCAAGTGAGATACTGTAAATACTTTTTTAAACTGACTAAAACTAATACTCCCTCTAAGGAAGAGTTATTTTTTTCCTCTTTCAATCTAAACTAAAGATGTCTCTGCCTTCCTCATCCTTTCATATATACATGCGTAACACGTATAGTAAATGAACCTCATGTGTATCACTCGGGAAAACAAAACTATGAACTTGAGCCGGGTTGTAAAACTATGAATCTCACTTTACTCTGCATTGGTCAATCTGTTTTAAGTTTACATTGTATTTATTTTAAGACAGCTCCAGCAAGGCAGGATTCCCACTTAAAATCATCCTGCTTCAACCTCCCAAGTATCCTGAGATTAGAGGCATGTGCCACGAAGCCCAAACCACAAAATAATTTCTGAAAAAATGTATAAAGAGAGAACCTGATAAAAATGATATAAGAGTAAGGCAGATATTGGGCTGGCTAGATAGCGCAGTAGACTAAAGCACCTGCCTAGAAAAGCTTAGGCAAGAGGAGAGACCACGGTTCGATCTCTGCCCCTAGGGCAGGCTGAGCCAGACACAAAAAATAAAGAGTAAGGCAGGTATGCTGCAAAGGCAGATTAGTGGTACAGTGCAAGACCCCACATTCCACCCCTCACATTGCAACAATAACAAAAAAAAGTAAGGTAGGGGAGTAGCTGTCATTTGAATCTTAAATGCTCTCCAAAGATCCATGTGCTGAAGATGTAGTCCCCAAGTTGGCAGCACTGGGAGGTGGTGGAACTTTTACGTAGGAGTTAGGCATAGTGTCTTTAGGTCACATCCAACAGGATCTTGAGAGCGCAAATGAATCTTGGCCATAAGATAAGCAGTCTGCTCTGTCTTGTACCCTCCATTACTGCCATCTGGTGGATGCCACCAGAGGACCACCTGAAGGAGTCCTGAACTGAAAACTCAGGAACTGTGAGCCAAAATTAACCTTTTCTCCAGCCAGGGAGATAAGACAGCTCAGAGCATAAGCACCTGCCTAACAAGCACAAGGGCCTGAGTTCAACCCCTGATTCCAGAAAAAAAAAAAAAAAAAAGAACTTTTTTCTTTATAATTATCTCAGTTATTTTGTTACAGTGATGGAAAACTGATTAACATGGTAGTCATCCAGCTTCTAGATGGGAGTGGCTTCCTGTGTGCAAGTATTTTAGAAAATAATACTTTAAAAAAGTTCAAAATCTTTGAATCTGTGGTTTTATTTCCACAAGAATTTAAAAAAATAGTTGGACATGATGGTAGTGCAGAGGTGTTAGGAGGCTGAGGTAAGAAGACTGCAAATTCAAGCCTACCCTGGGCAATTTAATAAGATCCTAGCTCAGAATTTAGAATAAAAAAATTTTTATTATATAGCTCAGTGAAAAAGGGATATAGCTCAGTGAAAAGACCCTGGAATCAATCCTCAGTACCACAATAATAATAATAGTAATAATCCAATAGTACAAAGAGGACATGAATCACATGAAAGTAAATATAAAATGGCTCTACAACTATAAAGATGCTCATTTTTATTTATGGTAGAAAAACAAAAACAAGTTTTCTACTTCTCTAGATCACAAAAGGCCAAACAACTTAATACATGGTATCAGAGAAGATAACATTAGCACTTACTGTAAAGCTGCTTACTGATAGATACACAAACTGAGTACAATCTCAACACAGGATAATTGACACTAAGGATAAAAATCTTAAACCTATGCATTCTGACTTAGCAATTTCGCTTGTTGAAATTTATCCTATAGATGTACTGTACAAACATATATATGGATATATAATTTCCACTGTGCACACACTCATATGCTTGTATCTGTAGAGTCTTTCTCAGAAAAGTAAATCAACAGAATCTCCCAACACTCCCAAACTAGTAATAGCAGCTGTTTCTGTAAAGAAAGCTAGGTAGACAAGAATATTTACTTTTCATTCCACACATTTATGTATCTTTCAAGTTTACAACCACAGTATATATTTGCTACATATACAAATATGTACACACGGTAGTGATATATCAATATATGTAGTTGCATGAGAAAAATATTTTTAAAAGCTAAAACCACTCTTTTCAAATTTTACTTATTCAACTGGCCTCAGTTAAAAATATTCAAGACTAAAATGGAGCAAATGCAAGAAACATATTCAACTTTGATAATGGCTACTATCATCTTCTCCCTATATCACACAATTCTTCACAGTGCCCATCCCAGCCCTGTCCCTTTTCTCCCCTTAACTCACCTTAGCATTGGCAGTATCAAAAATAGTTTCAATGAGTAAGATATCAACCCCTCCATCCAATAGGCCTTTGGCCTGCTCTTGGTATGCTTCAACAAGTTCATCAAATGCTATAAGAAATAAGTCACACCCAGCACATCAGTCATTCATGCCCTCGGAATATGCTGGGTTCGGGACAGGCACCTGGGAGCCATTGTTAATTAAATGAATAAATATGGCAGTAATGGGAGCCAAACCCAGGGAACACAGTTGCTCCTAAACACTTGACATATGATCTCCCCTTCCCATGTATAAACAAGGAGTAAAAAGGTACGTACACTTGAACCACATGCTTTACACTCAACATCTTTAAACACATCATTCTACCCATAGATCACTTCAGTAGGCCAATTAAGAGGCAAGTGTAGAATACATGATTTGAATACATCACAGCTGGCCTCAAAAACTCACTCTTTCCAGTTGAAAGCTACGATCATATGGATTTCATTCCTGCTCTTATGTGAATTCTGTCAGAGAGGAGACCTCTCACCCAGAAGCTTCAACCAAAAAGTGTTCCTTCATTCCTGTTTTTGTTAAAAATATCTCGTTGCCGGGCGTGGACCTGTAGTCTCAGCAATCAAGAGGCTGACCCAGGAGGACTGCCATGAACGCAAGGCCAGCCTGAACTATACAGTGAGACCCTGCCCCCAAAACAAAACAATTTTGTATTATTGCCACCTGAAAATTCATCCCTTTCCTCATGTTATCTCCCAGGAAAAAAAAAATAAGTGTCCAGGAATTCAGTGGAAAAACCTAAACAGGAAATTTCTTAGTGTGTAAGTACATATGACTTCATATGATATCAGAACAAGGAAAGATTAGTTCCCCTATTGTCCTATCTAGACCAAAGAGAGCAATAACCACATAGCAGCCTGGTTAAGAGCAACTCGTAATGAAAAAGTATGATATCACAGCATGTAAAGTCCTGTACCAAAAACCTACAAACTGTTCTTACCTAAAAGTGTCACTTATACAAAAACCATGACTATACATGGTATCATAACTACTCAGCTCTGAAATTTTAATTCTTTTTTATGTAGTCCTGATGCTTAGACATTAACCTTCTAAGATGCCTAGACTTTTGTCAAACCTCAATAAAGCACTTTTACATATGCTAGTTTATAATACTATTTTAGATAATTTGAGCTGCTTCTGATATATTATTACATGGGGATACAGGTTACTTTATAAAAGGCCAAGAGCTGGTAACCATATTTGTTCACCTCACTTTAAAACTCTTCCACTTTAAAACTTTGTTTTCATATAGCTCTAATAAAGAACCACTAACACATCATTACATACATCTATAAGCAAGCTCAAATAGTAAGATTAGCAACTTTTTATTTAGATGTCTACTAGATTCCAGACATTGCTATAAACTCTCAGATAAAGTTACAATCTCTCTGAGGTAAATCCTGTTACTGGTTCTATTTCAGAGATGAATAGATTACTGAAGCACCAAGATAAGACCCAAATTATATATGATAAATACTCACTGATGTTCCTATAATCTGGTCTTTCCACAGATGGGGACACAGAGAGTGTCTTATTAGTTGGACCCAAAGCTCCTGCCACAAACCTCTTGATTCCTTTGGGAAAAGAAAAACAAGTGTAAAAATCTCTAAATAGCTCAATCTCTTTGTTGTGAATCAACAAGTTACCAGACCTTTCCTAGAAAGCAGGGTTATAATCCTTTGCCGTGGTTTATAGGTGTCCCCACAAAGCTTCATGCATTCATAAGATTACAGGGGTGTGATACTCATCAGTGGGTTAGTACAGTGACGAGTTTATGGCTAAATGCGATGTGAGGAGGTGAAGCTTGGTTGGAGGAGGTCAATCACTGGGGGTGTGGCTGGAAAGGTATACTTCTCTACCTCCTCCCTTGATTCCTCTCAGCATCTGCTGCCACCATGCCCTAAGCTGTATCTCCTCTGCCATGTTTCCCTGCCCTGGAGCCAGTGGACTGTAGACTGAAACCTGATTAAACTAGGAGCCAAAAAAAAACCCTTTCTGCCTTACAATTGTGGGTGTCAGGTATTGTGTCTCAGCAACAAGAAAGTACAAAGACATCTTTTGTCCACAGCTCTGAAATTCAAAAAGCTCTAAAAGACCAAATTTTTTTCTGAATTCACTGGATGATAAAACTTGACTTCTACTGAACTAATAAAAGACTATGGTCTTTCTGCCACTTAGTGGGATAATTCACAAATTATGCTAAGCCTCCAGACATCTGACTTCAACGAGCTTTTATAAATAATCCTTTCCTATCACTACAGTTTTATCTGCAGAAACTCTTTCTCTTCCAATACTCTGGAAATCTTGAAGGCCATGAAAGTAAACAATGTGCATCACAAAAGCACTCAACCTGATGCACTCTCTACTACTGCAGCCCTTTTGCAGAATTAACAAGTATAAAGTCTGACATGCAAGTATGAAGTAAATAGAGTATTATTTTACTTTAGCAATCTTTCCTCTGGACCAGAATCAAGGTGATTCTAAAATGGCTTCAGTTTGTGTTCATGTATCATCACAGAAGCCAAGATCTAACTACACATTACTTTTGATGATTTTAGTTACTCAATAACTTGGGTTATACCTTATAATGCAACCGAAGAAGGTCACTAACTAGTTGACGATCCTGTAAACAAGTTAGGTGCCTATTCTTTTTTTTCTTTCTTTCTTTTTTTTTTCTTTTTTTGGTGGAACCGGGGATTGAACTCAGGACCTTGCACTTGCCAGGGAAGCACTTATACCACTGACCCATTTCCCCGGCCCTGCCTAAATATTCTTTATCTTCCCTGAAACTGAGCAATAATACAGCTACAAGGAAAACATCCTTATCTCTCACTGCTTAAGCCAATTCAATGTCTTCTGCCCTGCCTTTCTATTGGAGAAATAGTGTACGCATTTGCATGGATTTACACATTATCACTCAGGAATAAAAGTGTCCTGTATGTAGCTTTGGTCTTCATTAGCATGCTTCAGCTAATTTAACAATTTTGTTTTCCATCTTTCCCACTGGCAAATCTTCACAGTTCCAAAATTTAAGGAGTTCCAAGGCCAAATAGCTTAGAAAATCAAGGAGGCCCAGGGGCCAGGGGTTCAATACCCGGGCCTGCTGTGCCAGCCCCGCCCCCGGGACATGCTGAGACAGCAACTGAGACTGAGTGTGGTGGTGTGCGCCTGCAATCCCAGCTCTTGGGAGGCTGTAAACAAGCGGATCACTACGAGTTGGATCTAGTAGTGAGACCCTGAACACCCTGTAGAACCTTCCCTAAAATATAGGAAAAAATTTTAAGGAGTTCCATATATTTCTTCTGCTCCTTTCCCTCTCTCAAAGCCTCCCACCAGCTGGTGCCCAAGTGTCCTGATGGCAACCAGTCAGGAGGTTAACTATTTCAAGAGTCACTTTTCAAGTGCCACCAAGACTGAATCTAATGCCACCTCTCCATGTGCTTCACAGCTGTCAAGGTCATCAGTACCAGAAGAACAAAATGCTCCATAAGCAATCTTTCTGCCTAAGTAACACAAGCATGGAGAGAAGAGCAGCTATGGAAACAAGGATCAAATATCCTAACAACAGCCAAAATAATAAATCAGCCAGCTGTTAATAATTGGATGATGTCGTTCCAAAGGGAGAAAAAAAATCATTTGAGGTCTAAATACACAGGACTAGTTAAAAGTCAGGCAACTGACACCAGCAGACAAGAGAGTAAACCTGGAGCCCAAGCTCCACAGGGACAGCATCACTTCAGTGATGATGAATGTTTCATTATTTAAAAACAACAGAAAAATTACCTACAAATAAGTTAAAATGCAGTGTGTGCAGTTGCTTATAAACCAAAGGTCAGTCACATAAGTAAAAACTGCAAGAGAGACAGGAAGAAAGAACATATAGCTAAGAATACCAGAGAAACTATGTATGCAAGAAAGGAAAGAAAATATCTGTTACCTGTCTGAAGCGTTATCTCCTCAGCAGCTTTTCTGGCTACATCTGCAGAGCACTTGTTCATCTGGTAGGCCTAACACATCAACCACTAGCATTAGTTTGTGCTGCTCTCTCTATATACAATAAGGAATCTATAACCATTTAATACCCAGTTATACTCAGTAAGGAAATATACAATGAATTAATCTGAGATTGAGTGAAATTATAACCAAGTTCTATCAGTTGCCCCAGCCTTGAAAGTCAGCAGAAAATGGCACAAGTCCTTGAGCCAGTTGGTAAAAAAGGCAACCTCTGGACAATCTGGCATGTCACAGACTAAGATGGAATAATTAAGTAATATATAAATTAAGAAACAGTATGGTACTGGGGGAAACACAGGCTATCAAAGCATAACACTGCACTCTAGGACTAGCTCTGTCACTGCCTGACAGGAAGTTCCCACAACCTCCCCTGGCCTTGGATTTCCTTAACTGTACAGTGGTTGTTTATCAGTCATTCTAAACACTTTGAAGATTATTAACTTCATAACAAGACCCATAAATCTTCTTACAGGAAATAAAAAAATGTATATATATAAATATATACATATATGTACACACACAAAGTATGACCTGCAAGTTAAGAATGATAGTGGTTTTTCAGAAACCCTTCCACATACCAAATCAGTGGTCCTAGGTTTATAATTTTCACAATCCCCTCCTCTGTGGTCTTATATGTGATAGGGCCTCACACTACATAATTAACTAACTGCAAAATCCTAAATAAGAATTGGCAAACTATTGCTTATTAATCAAACCTAGTTCCTGCATATTTTTGTAAATAAAGTTTTACCACAACATAGTCATGATCATTTACTTACATACTGTGTATATGTGCATACAACCAATGATTATGCCTTTATCAAAAGCCATTGCATAATAAACACCATTTTTACTGCTTTACTCTAAGTATAACTTGCCTAACTAGCTGTAACATGAGTAGGCTACCATGCTCAAAACCAGAGAAGATTCAAACCATTATCTCTGTCTTAGCATTAACAACAGCTAATTAGGCACTAGCTTGATTAAAGCTTCAGGTGACTTTCCTATTGGCAATTACCAATGTAGCAAATGTTCATAAGCACCTCAGACACAATGAAACATGTAATTCTTACCAAGTGTTCAAGGCCATAGTCAGCTTGGGCAATACTGGTGCTACTGAAAGTATTTGTTTCAATGATATCTGCCCCAGCCAGCAAGTAGTCCTGCAGCAAGAAAGAAGAATATCAATTCTTACAAGTTTATAGAGTCCCTGTCTACCAACACTAAACATATTCTTGCGTATAACCATCACCAACCATCTTTGGGCTGCTCACAAAGAGAAAAGCAGTGCATTACAGCCAAGATGCAGGAGAGAGTAAGGAGTGCACAAAAAGGTGAGTGACTTAAATTCAATCAAGTCCCTTAACTGTACCATCTCTGAGATCTGAAATTCTGACCAGTTTTTCAGTCCATCTCTCTTAATCCCTCTCACCCAGATTTGTATCCTTACTAGAACCCTAAGGATTTTAGTACCCTACTGTTCTCCTGTTAAAAACTTATCTTCTTATTTCACTCCTTGGACATCATCTCAACTTCAGTCTGACTAGTACCCTATCTTTCAAGCCACTTGGATTTTCTAACAGTGAGTGAACAACCACTTCTCAACTAATTTGTTTTTCAAAATAGCTAGAAAATTAAAACTACCATGAACACACTTACAACAGTAAGTCACAAAGATCCTAAATATAAGACAGCTAAATAAGTTACATATTTATGTTTTTATATGCTATATGACAGCTAAAATCTTATGTATATCTACATATGTGGGCATGTTAAAATCTTTCAGAGTAATGAGTAAAAAAGCAAAATATGTAAAGCATGACACCATTAGAATTAAAACATATACATTCACAAATAGTACAGTGAATTTTCTAGGTTAGTTATACATACATGGAACTAAGAAAAACAATTTGTAGTAGCAGTCAAATGGAAATTTATTCTTATCTGAGTTTTTATAAGAATGAGTTAAAATTTAATTTTTTTCAAGAAAAGATAGAGAAAACCTGGCACTTTAATGCCTAGGAATATAAAGATCAGTTAGGTAAATAATGCACACAAAAAACAGATAATGAAAAAAAACTAAGTTAATAAACAATGCTCTTGAAAAAAGAAAAAATGTAAACTATGAAACAATATAAATCCAGCTTAATTTTTACTTTTGAATCTTTAGCTTTTTTTTTGGGGGGGGGATCCAAATATGGGAAATTTATTATTTAAGAAACAATTGAAACAATTACAGCCAACGTAGTTTGGAGAGGATGAGAGGCTATGGCCAGTGATGCTATGCCTGGACTATTTTCTTTTAGAAAAATGAAGTAGCCCAAGCAAAAATATGGAAAGGATTTAAATAGACATTTCTCCAGAGAAGATATTCACATGACAAACACACACACATGAAACGGATGCTCAATATGATTAATCACTAGGAAAAAGCAACTAAAACTCACAATGAAATACAACCTAATATATATAAGGATGGCTATAATAAAAGAAAAACAATAACAAATACCAGTATGAATGTGGAAAAATTGAAACCTTTGCATATTGCTATGGTAACCCAAAATGGTGCCGTCCCTTTGGAAATAGGTAATTCCTCAAAATGTTAAACTCAGATTTAACTTATCACCGAGCAATTCCTATTATAAAGACTTGAAAACCCATGCTCATATAAACACTTATACATGAATATTCATAGCAGTATCATGAAAATATAGAAACAACTCAAAGAATCTTTAGCTTTTTAAAGCATAACCTAAAATAGGTGAATAGTAGCTATGTCCTGGGATTTTATATTGGGCAAGAGCCTACTTTCCAGCTCAAAGACGGCCATCTTCTTTGTGTCCTCAAATGCCAGAAGAAGAGATAAACAAGCTCCTACAGGTCTTTCACAAGGATACCTCCTAATACCACCAAACCAAGTATTAGGATTTACCATATGAACCTAAGAGACACATAAACATTTAGCAGTGTTCTCAAAAAGACACACAAGACCTTGCTTCCTCTTTCTGCTCTCTACCATGTGCAGCAGAAAATGTCTGCTGCTAGCCCACTCCCAGACTGCCCTCTTTCAAGAACTGCAAGGAAGATGTTGTTTAAGCCACCTAGTCTACGATAATGTTACAGCAGCCCAAAACAGTGAAGGCATCGCCTTTAAGTATCACTTCATACAGGCTATTACCATAACTTAGTAAGATGGTAAATGTGAAATCCCTAACTTAGCCCTGGATTTTGTGGGGATTTGCTACCACTTAATACCTCAAAGGCAGGAAAAATTCCCTATTCATCTGCTTATCCAAAATGCCCAACACAATGCATGGCTTTTAGGATACAACACCTGCTTTCTCCATAAATCATTTCTTTCTTCTGTAATAAATTCTTTTTTCATTCCTCTGTGTGCCAACACATAGCAGAGTGGTCTGACAGTGTAAGAAACAGCTTGAATGAGTGTATAGGAACCTAGGAAAACTTACCTTATGAATTTGGTAAATGATATCAGGTTGAGTTATACTTAAAATGTCATTATTTCCTTTCAGTGGCCTGGCATGATCTTTAAATTCTTCACCTTGAAAGCTTTCTTCACTCAGCTTATACCGCTGGATCATGGTTCCCATCCCTCCATCTAGCACCATAATCCTCTTCTGCAGAATGGCTTCAATCTCATCCTGAAGAGTCTTCTTCATATCTCCTTTAAATAAAAATTGTACTTTTAGAATCAAACACGATGGCATACACTGGTAATCCCAGTACTCAGGATACTAAAGAGAGAGAATTATTGAGTTCAAAGCCAGCTAGAGCTACACAGTAAGTTCAAGGTCAGCCTGAACTACACAATGAGGCTGATTAAAAAAAAATGGAGGGGCCGACCAGATAGCTAAGCAGACTAAAGCACCTGCTTAGGCAGGCACAGTGACTGATAGTTTGATCCCCAGCCGTGTTGGCCCTGCCCCTTGGGCACACTGAGACGCCGAATGAGACTGGGCATGATGGCATGAACCTATAATCCCAGCTCTTGGGAGGCTGAAAACAGGAGGATCACTATAAGTCTGATCTGTGCAGTGAGACCCCATAGACCCTGTACTAAAATAAATAAATAAATGGAATTAAAGGTGAAAAATGTATAGAAGGAGAATTTAGAATAATTTATAATAATTCATACTGAGAAGTAGAACTCAAAAAGATGTACCTATTATTCTACAGCATGAGAAAAAAAGCTACCCCAAAACATCACTGTCATAACAATAAAAAAATGATATTTTGTACAAAGTAGAAAATCAGTAGTGAACCACCAAGCAACATAAAAACAGGCTTAGCCAGTTCTATTTCAGACAAGAGGAAAACAGAGCAGGGAGCCAAAGTAACACAAGCCTAGGCCAGGCTGCCAGAGAAAGTCCTCAGGATCTTTCCTTTTTAATTCTATGAGATGCTTTCTTAACTGGGAGACTTCACAAAGACAATTAAAAACGACCAATGATTCAAAACTGACATTTAACATTGCTATTTGTTTCTCAATAAAATTATGGGGGAAAAAACTGACATTTAAGGTGTCAGCTTTTATTCTCATCTCCCCCACCTACTGCCAAAATTAATAATGGTCTGAAAACTCATTCATTTTACTGTTTTACTCATTTATTTATGCTTCATCTATGAAATAGCAACTGGCAAACACCCTCAAATTTCACAACTCTCCTCTTGCTCCTCAAGTTCCAATCCTTGGTCCTGAAAAGGCTCCAATTCCCACCCATCCCTTCTAATCTTACTTTCTATTCCTAAGAATGACTGGTAAATTACAAACTGTGCTTATCTGAGTCACTTCACAATGTTGAGTCTTTCTGATTCAGCTTTCCCTGACTTCCTGATACCCTCCCAACATCTGCTGTCCCAACCTCTAATTTCTTTTAGCACCAAGTCCTTCCAATCTTCCTCACTTTACACATGTGTAGCCTAATCTTGTACAAAGATCTTCTCTTGGAGGTTCCTCAAATTTAACGCTTCCCCACCTCAAAATCATCTTGCAGCTTGGTTCACTCCATTTCCTTCTCTCCACACTTACTTGCCACCACTCTGACATCTCCCATTGCCCTCCCATCTAGCTTCCAACTTTCCAAAGTATTAACTGTAACTACTTTCTGGATGTGGCTTCCTTTTCCACCACTCCCCTGAAATTACTTTCTAAAGTCACCAATGATCTACTAATTATCAAAAACACCTGGTCCCAATCTTGGACCCAGACTTCAAAATCCATTTGATAATGCCACTTAGCATATTCACTTGCCTCTCAGTCTAATATTCAAAGCCAAATCTGCTATGCCTCCTGTCTAATCTCTCCATTTTGTGAATGGAGACTTCTTCCTTCTTCCTTCCAAAAAGTATAACCTTAAAATCTCAGTATTATCTACCTCTTTCTTCTCTCTGATAACCAACATCTTAAAATCTCAAGGCCTACAGATTTGGCCTCCAAAATGTCATTCAACATTTTCCATCTCCACTGCCAACTCCTTTTTTCCAAGCCCTCACAGCACCTGCCAGTCAGCACAAATCCTCTCTGAGGATCAGTTTGCATGCACGTAAATGGGATCATACAGTGCATGTGCAATTGCTTTATAAATTATCAAGCATTATACAAAGAGATCTTTACCATACCTGGTCATACTACTCTAATTCATTATTACTAGATTAATCTTCCAAAATTTTTGTTTGTTTTGGCTGTACTGGGGATAGACCACAGGGACCCCACAATGAGCTGCACTGTCAGCCAAGTGTGTGTGTGTGTGTGTGTGTGTCTGTGTGTGTGTGTGTGTGCGTGTGTGTATCAATCAAATTTGAAATCCCATCTTCTCAAAGTACTGCGATTACAGCCATGTACCACAAGCAACAGCAAGAGAATGTTGTTAAACAACTTGGTTCCCCTGCTCTACAGAGACCTCCAGTGGCTCCCTGCTGCCTACCAAAGTTAAAACAAGTATTCAAACAAATCACAATGACACTAACCTGTCTTCTTAAATTTTCTACATTCCCTGAGAAGGAAACAAAGCTCAAATCAAGTGGAGCTGGTTCTAAGCTATTTCTTGGAAGAAGACTGTGTAGAACAACTTACCTCTGTCACTACCAGCACCAAGAACAGTACTTAATATAAATGTTCGATATTTCCTCAATTGAAATGACAAAATATGAGTTGAAACAAGAGGCAAATTAAAACCCAAACCACTAATGTAAGAATTGCGCTCACAGTGGGTCTACGCTTTCAACCCTAACTCGTCTTATTGTCTAGAGTCTCTCAAGCACACAATATAGCAACAGGGCCTTAAGTAGTGGCCATAGAATTATGCCACTCAGGGACTTGCTGAAAGCACACTTCAAGGAAGGTTGCTCTCGTAACCTATAAGGAAAACCCAGTTTCTTTCCCACAGTCATTATGTTTCTTTCAGGGTGTTCTATTCCTTTTCAAAGCCAGCTCA